TGCATTCAAGTCCAGGTAGGGGTCCGACGCCGCGACGTCACGCCTGCCGTCGGCCTCCTCTCCTCGCTCCTCCAGCAGGCCGGAAGCCTCTGAGGAGACGGTTGCCGCGCCGTTGCTGTCCTCTGGATCCGCCGCGCCTGTTACATCCTCCATCTCCTGGTCCGAGTCCACAGTTTCTCGGGGAGGAACCATGCAGGGGATGGTGGACTTCCTCCTGCTCGCCATCCTGAGTTTGGGTGAGCGCCGCGTTCAGCCGAGTGTTGGAGCCGACTCAGTTCAAGCCGTCCTGTCGTGGCTCCATAAAGGAGGAGGTCACCAGTCGAAAAGTTCCCTTCGCTGTCTTTAAACCCTGTGGCACAGAAATGCATCATTACTCAGAGCACATCCCCACGATCACGCCACCTGTTCTTTAAGATCACACATCAGCAGTTAACCCTTTAAAGCCGGTCGGAGCGGGCACGCTCCGTTTTGCGTAACTGTTTTTAAATCCCTGTAGAACCGGAACCATGTAAGCTAGCGCAGTCATTTTTTTGCATATGAAACCAGTGGAGTTGTACTTACATCTTATGCCATCAGCTTGTCCTAAGTCACAGTTTCCTTCCACATAAAGTTTTGCAAAAATTGCATAAAAAGCACTTGCAGGAACAAAAACGTAATATTCCAGAAACACGCTTTGCTGATCCGATCAGCTGTTCATAACACTTCCTACATTGAAAAAGACGTCAGTGCGAATTATCGCATGTCGGCCATGACCTGCCCGAAACCGGAAGTGACGTCATTTTCGCGGAAAATGTAGTTTTTTACTTGTAGGCCTTAAAAGCCTATACTGGTGTTTTTAAAAGTCATGTTTGACTTTATGCTTTTCTGAATAGTTGCTGGGATGCTTAGAACTCGAATTGCACAGCTGGAAATAGTTTATTTTATTTTGATGCTGTTTTCTCTGCAAATTTGCATCATAGGATTGTTTTTCGTTTTTTCTGCAGTGTATAAAAATTGGTGTATCACAAAAATAAAACTATGAAGACACTCAAAATAAATTTCCTGTTGTTGTAAACTATTGTTTGCAACTTCTTGTATTTAAAATTTCTCCAAGTAGAAATATATGTTAAAAAAAAAAAAAGATTTCCAATTTTTTGTAGTTTATTGCACTTTTTTGCATTTTATGTAGTTACTATGGACTTAATGCATAAATATTATTAGAATTTGGGCTATAACAGTTGTATTGATGTATAGCAACTTGAAATGCTCCCGAAAATGGCTCCACAGCATGTAAAAAAAATAATATAAGCTCTGGCGGACTTGGTTGTATAGTAGGTCTTAAAGGGTTAAATTATCACGTACGGGTCGCTCCACCTTCATCCTCCTTCATCGCTCTTGTCTGTCAGAGGCTTTGTATACAGTGAAGTCACATGTTTTTAAATGAACTGTGCAATTATTATGCTGTAAATGCTGAAACACGTTCATGCTGATGAAATCAGTTATTAACCTGTTCCAGCACCATCAGTGAATCCTTCCTATGATTGCTTGATCACGACCACGCTCAGTATCGTAAACTCAACGATCCATTTGTTAACACATCACACAAAAAAATGTCCGTTTACAGCAAAGATGGAGGGCGACAGCTTGTTATTCCGCAGCTCTGACTAGTTAACTAGCCTGTCTCAGAAGAGCAACTGCTCATGGTAGCCACAGGGCAACGAGGGCAACACAAACAGTGTCACGCCGCAGAAATCAGTCTGATTCTCAGAGGATACAAAAAAAAAAAAACCAGACACACAAAAAACAACAACAAATAATCTTTCTGTTGCTCCGAGTTGCAGGTCAGGAAGACGCCACCAGGGGGCAGCACATTGTCCTGTAAGCTATGGTGAAAAGTACGGCCAGCCTACGCTGACATGGTCTGTCCAACTTTGCAAACTGCTGGATTATATAATTTAACGAGGCTTTAGCTTACACTGACGACAGCAATAATTACTTAAACAAATATTTTGGGCATAAACAGCAAATGTATGAGCGTTAAATAGTTTAGTCACATGAACCTTCATAACTACAGCTACAGACAGCTTTGGTGTATGACAGCAGGATCCTTTAGATGATAAATTTAACTCCTAAAGTCTTCATCATTATTCTGTCATATTACATATCAGGTGTTACTGACCACGTGACAGTGTTTCTATTACCACTTAATTAACCCGCCGTCCCCGTACACAAACAAACTCAGAGGTGTTGAAGCCGTCTTGGTTGGGTCTGTCTCCTCAGCTGCTTTCTACAGTTTTGTTTATTAACTTAATAAAATCAGAAGTTGCCAATAGTCCCAGTTTTGGTTTAATTCGTTTTTTTACTAACATCGGTGAAAGGGGAGGAGCCTGAGTCAGTGTCAGCTGATGGCTTCTTCTTCTGTTTGTTTATGTCAGGCTCCTAGCTGCCTGACTTTGTTTGGGCAGAAACATGGTGACCCTAAAGATTTCATTTTCCTTTGAGCCGTGGATTTAGGGGCAATAACGCAGAGTATGCAGAAAGACACACGTGATTTTAAATACTGTAAACAAAACAACATAATTAAAATAGTGCCAGTGTGGGGGATGATCACAGGATCCTTTCCATGAGTAACAACTCTGACCACTAACCCTACAGCTCACTGTGGGACATCAGGGAGATATAAAAGAATAAAAGGAGTTTTCCACCAAAGCCAGTGTAACTTTGCTACTGTGCACCCTGGAGATGCGTCTGGTACAGTGGCAGACCTAAATAAACTTTTACTGCAGTATATCCTAATCTTATACTGCTGCTGTACTGCATTTCTGAGATAAATATTTGCACTTGTTGCTGCCCTACTTTGACTGTAGCCTCTACTTAATTAAGTCTGTGCTTTATTCCTTTGAAACAGCTGTAAACAGCTGATAGCTTCAGATCGGGATCATCGATTAGTCCAAAGTCCTCCTTTGTTTTCTTATTAATCATCGTATGATCCCTGGTGACCCTTCAGATGGGCCCAGGCCTTAGTTTGGGGACCGGTTTACAAACCGTTACCAGTACTACTTCAGTCAGAGATACATTTCCTGCAGGGAAGGTACTTCTGCTCAGCACTGATTGCAGTACTCAGTACCTTGCCTCGGCGGTGTGGGGGCTCGGTTCGTACTCGGTGTACTTCCTGCCCAGCACACACGTAAACATGTTAGAGCTCCACGAATATCTCCCCTGTCCTCACTGAACATCCTCCCGCTAACGTTAGCTAGCCCCGCCGCTCCGCGCTGTGCTAGCCGACGCTCCGCTGCTTGCAGCGGGCTCCAGCTGACGCAGCTAGCAGACTGCTGAGAGCCCGGGCGTGTTTACCTGCACTGTCGGTTTCCGTTTTCCTGCATGTCGGAGCGAACAGTTAGCTGTAGCCGTGTCTGTTGATACGCAGTCTTCCGCCTTTTGCTTGATTTCACCGCGGCTCCCATCTGCTTCAGCCGGACACAGAGCCGCTCCAGCGGCCGGGGAACATGCTAACTACCGCCGGCTAGCTCCGGTTTGGGCCGGTCGCCGCTCCGACTCGCATTGCTCGCTGTCGCGCTTTGTTAATGAGACGGACCGTTTAAGTGAAAAGGGTCCGATAGTTCACCGAATCTGACGATGGCCATTTTTCATACCGCCACTACAAGCGAGCAACGGCCGAGAAATGTATCCGGTTTGAGCTTTTCGCAATAAGAGCATCAACGCAAACACGAGAAACGCCAGTGACATGAACTGTGTGGGTAACTGTGTAATTGACACACTCACAGCTGTAGTTGAAGTCAACAACCACAGCGACGAAACAAATTAAATTACACTAATTACATCTCACAAAACCTACAACCTGCGGTGCTGCTCTTACATATCACTAATAGTATTAGAAATATTTCATTTAAAAATGATCCTTTGTAATTTTTTATTTTAAATTTCAGTTAGTGTAATAATGTTTAGGATGTGGGTTTGAATCCTCTGAGCTTTTCTGTGTGGAAGTTATCTCCAGGTACTCCGGCTTCCTCTCACAGTCCAAAGCGTTTAGGATACCTGGTGATTCTACGTGGACTGAGTGAGTGAACGGTCGTCTGTCTGTGTTAGCCCCCTGACAGCCTGGTTACCCGTCCAGGTGCACCCCGCTTCTCGCCCTGCGGTAGCCGGCACAGGCTCCAGCCCTGGGTGGTGTTTTCTTCCAAGTAAAAACAATAAGTTTGTTTTACAGCGTTTCATATTCTGGGATGTGTTCAGTCAAAATAAAAGTACACGCAAGCGCAATGTAGATGAAAGGAAACTAAGAAAATATATTTAAATGAAAGCTAATGACGATCACTTATCAGCACTCAGCTCACCGTGGCATCGACAAACCACTAACAATGTATAAAAAGACTTTATTTTGAAGAAAGCGGAAGCGTCTGTCAGCGTGCTGAGGTCAGTGTGTGACATACATTAATTATTTTTTATTTTTTAAATATACACACACACACATATATGAGCATGGAGGGCACGAGCAGAGCCTTTGTGGTTACGTCACATGGCTGCGCTCCGACTTTCAGAGTAAAAGTACCATCACACACACACAGGAGAGAAAATCCACCATCACACACTGAACTCTAGCCTTACTTACAAATCACTAATATCATTTATTTTATTTAATACTAACGGATTCATGTGAGAAACTGAAAGAAGCTCTTTGAGTCTGAAGCCCTTGAAACTGTTTCCAGCTCTCTGCAAACACTCAGATACTAACGTTTCCCAGCATCTGCATTTCTGTCAACTCTTCTGCGGCCTGTGACCCCAGCTGCATGTTTTCATGGTTTTATTCTGTGGTTTCGTGCTGGAGTCGCATGTGCAGGCTTTCAGCGGTCAGCTGAACAGGAAACAGACGGCGACTTCATTCACGCTCACAGAGACTTTATTAAAGCGACATCAGACAAACAGCACGGAGATAAACATGGTATTACTGTTTGAAAAGCACTGCGATAAAGCACACCTGAGAGGAGAAACTGAACGACGCGTTTGTTTGAACACTGAGGTTTATTGAAGTCGAGCTGCTGGAGGTCAGGAGAATCGATCGATTTCTGTCTTCATTTCCTGGAAAGCAAAAGTGAGAAAACTGAAAATGTGCTGATGGTGTCTGTGCGCTGCAGGCTGGTACCTGATAAAGTAGCTACTGTAATCAGTTATTTATACTGAGGTCACATGAGCGCCCTCTGGGTCTCTGTGGGCGTCGTACCTGCAGCAGCTCTGCCTTGTTGCAGTTGTCTCTGTGTCGGTAGATGCACTGAGCGAGCCGGGCGTAAAGCTTCTCCAGTGGCTCCACCTCTGCGCCATCCGTCTTCGCCACGACTCTCCTCAGGAGCTCCTGGAAAACAGAAACCGGTTTGAGGTGGTGCCTGCAGAGGCCCGTGGGGCCCACGGCCCCTGCTTTATTCATTACTGGCTGCTGGGGTGGGGGAGGGGATGCTGTGCGACTTCCTGTTTGTTTCCGGTCTGAAAGCAGCTCTTCAACCGTTGGTGCTGCAGACTGAAGATGTGAGCAGACGGCTTCCTCCAGTCAGACGTGAGCAGATTCCTTGATGTTCAGCTTCCTGACGACTCGCTGAGAGCAGACGGAGACGATGAAGAGCTTCCTCCTCATCGTAAAAGGACAAACTCAAGGCGTCTGACCGGTAAAGCAGGACAGCCGCAGCTTCTTGTTCCTCATGTTTGTCAAGTACACTTCACTCTGTATGTAAACTCAGACGGACCATCCAGGTATGAAGAGTGAAACGAAGCTGGACATGTAAATCTGCAGTTATGTTAACAGCCAGCAGGGGGCTCCAGCTGTGTCTGTGACCTTGTTAACTCTGCGTTGATGGGTTTACGGTCACACTGAGTACAGTGTGAAGGTTATTCTCTTCACGCTGATCCAGGATCTGCTCACTGATGAACGCTGGCTCTAATGAACACAGCGTCACGTTGTATTCAGTCTGAGCCCCTTAAAGAGGCGAGCTGGGACTCACCTTCAGTTTGCTGCGATCGACGATCAGCGGTGGAGTTTCTTCCTGCTGCTCCAGCCTGTCCCGACTCAACACCTGCTCCAAAGCCGCCTTGTTGGCCCTCGACTCAGACTGTTTGCTCTTCTCTGAGGAGGAAGACAAGCAGAGGAAGAGGGCATTACCCTGCAGTGCCTCCCACAAACAGCCAACTCTACGCCTTCACAGCTGGAATCAACCAGGTTATGGCAAAAAGAAATGACTGTGGAGTTTTCAGCTAACGGTAGACATCACTTCCTTTGGGATTAATATTCTGATTTGTTAGAAAGCTGCAACACACACACACACAGCAGCCGTGTTATTGGTCAGATAATTTTAAAAACACCCCTCAGAGCAGCGAGCAGCTCCTGAAACTCTGCACCATCGATCAACGTCAGAGGAACTGCAGCGTTCTCACACCTGGAGGCGGAAGCTAACAGGTCAGGTCTGATTGGCGTGATGCAGCCATCAGATTTACAGATGCAAAGCTCCGCTGTGTGTGTGTGTGTGTGTGTGTGTGTGTGTGTGTGTGTGTGCTGAACCACAGAGCTGCGTTAGCGTTAGCGCTCCTGCAGCGCGTTTCATTCAGACTAAAGCAGCCGGCTCTGACACCTCACACGCTCCTCCTGCTCGATGCCCGGAGCGCTGCGGAGCGTCGTAGCGTGAAGTGGCGGCCTGTAGAAGCTCGATCGGCAGCGGCTGCGCTCTGAAGCGGTCCAGTGAGTCTGTTAGTACAGCGAGGCGCTCGCACTGCTCGTGCTCACGCGCACAGACCTAAGCTGTCCGCAGTCTGGCCGTTCAGCACGGTCTCCGGGCCTGGGAGGGTCTTTGATGAGCGGGTTCGACGCACGCCTACAGGTACGCCATCAGCCAGCTGGCGATGAACCGGCTCGGTGTGGCGGTGATACCCGTTCGTGAGGACTCCGTTGTGGGCTCTTGTGATGCGGTTTGGGGTGCGATGGAACCCACTCAGGCCGCCGTCACTGCTCTCTGATGGGCTGGACGAGCCAGCACCAGCAGACCCGTTCACCGCTCGCCGTCCAGCAGCTCTGACCTCCTCCGCACTCGACTCAGAGCTGAACTTACTGGACATGGAGGAGAGGGAGGTGAAGGAGGAAGAGGAGGAGGATGGGACTGGTGGCTCCTCCTCCTTCTTCTTCTTAGGTTTCTTAATGACGCCGGTGCTCCACTTGGACTTTCGGGGCCGTCTGTAACGTTTCTTCTTACGAGCTGGAAAACAGAAGTGGGGGTGGGGGTGGAGCGGGGAGGAGGAAGAGTAAAGGTCATTAGAGAGAAAGGTCACTTCTCGTCCTCTCTGCCTCTTCCTGTCCTCGCCTGCCCTGCGGCTCTCACGTTTGAGCAAACACTGTGGCTTCCTGCTCTCGCTGCTTTCGCTTTCACTGAGACGTTTTTAAAAGCAGCTTTTTGCTGCAGCAGCCGAAAGAAGCACCAAGCTCTCTGTTCATCAGACGTTTCACAGCGTGAGACGAACCCGGAGCCTCAGTCCTGCTGCGAGTCTGTGAATCCATCGTTAACATGACGACTTCTCTTTTACTCTCATTTGATCTAAAAGCTGCTCTGAGGAGGCGATCCCAAAGAAAAAACACATTTCTGTAGATCCACAGACGAGGAGAATCAGCAGCACGCAGTGTTTATAGAGACCATCCCTGCTTTCTACATGACCAGTTGAACATATAAATCACGTACACGTATAAATCATACCTGCGATACTGCAACGCAGTGTTTGCTGCGGCACCTTTACTGCACTTTAACACAGAATCTAACCGCGGATCACAGGAATCAAAACTGATTCATTACTTGAGGTTTTTATAAAGTTTGATGGTTACAATCTTATAAAATCGACTGTTTTTGTGATTTAAATGTCATCTTTTTGGCATTTTGTGAAAGCAGCTGAGTTTTGAGAACTTCTGAAGAATATTTTTGGAGCAGCCTGATGTCCTAATGTTTGGTACGCGAGTCCAGACTCTGAAACAGGAAGTGAAACTGGTGCACTCATCAACTGTCACTTCTCTCTAACGGACCAATTAAAAGTAGGGGCGGAGCTTATCAGCACTGCTAACAGTGGCTGAGGAGAACCTGACGGGTGGTTGACGGCTCACTGGTGCACACGCTGACCCTGATCAGACCTGATGTGATGTCTGCTGGTTTGCTCTCACGTCACTCATATTTCTAACAGTTTTGTAAAGCAGCTGCTGACGTCTGTGGCTAACAGTGCGCAGAGACTCTGAGCCGCCCCGTGCTGTTTCAGTTCAGGGGTGAACTTACGTTGGAGAGTGTTTCTGGAGAACGCCGAGCTGCAGACGCCATCGGCCTCCTGCGGGTTGGCCACCATCAGAGCTGTCACCAAAATAAAAGTCTTAATATAAAGTTTGACAGTACACTGTTAGCAGCAGCTGGATGAGGCGTGAACATCTGGCTGAGTTTCACCTCTGTGGATGCGCGACTCTCTGATCTCCTCGCAGACTCTCTCGAAGTCTTCGTCCAGCTCGTCTCTGATGATGGCGCGGACCGTGTCCTTCAGGGCGCACGCTCGGTGACGGATGTTGCGATCTGGCACACGCACGCACGCACACGCACACGCACACACACACACACACACACACACACGCACACACAGTAAAACAAACAGGTTTTGTATCACCTCTCCACAGGTGAGTCCAGCTGAGAAATCTGCTTCTGTTTAGTTCGTCTCTCCTCAAACAGACGCAGACAAACAGAAAAGGATTTTTTTCCCCCACCCAACAGCTGAACTTATAGCCCCGCCCATTGTGGAAATGTTTCCACCTGGAGACGCCTGCTCCGTCTGTCTCATACAGACAGCAGAAGAAACTTAAGAAAAGAAAGGAGACTGTGGGGCAGAGGAAAAACTAAGAGAACGGTCACGGGTGACGTCGTCTCACCCATGGGGTCGCTGTCCGGGTTGTACTCCAGAGCGTTCTTCCAGATGAAGTCAGCGTCCGCCATGAACTCGCCGACGGTGACGTACTTGTGCTGGTCGATGTTGGTGAGCAGGGTGGAGAGGTCCATGGGCTTCTTAATCACCATCAGATAGTCGGGGACCTGGAGGAGAGGAAGGAGGAGGGTTTCTGCTGATGGTGTTTGGTTTGGCCACTCGGGGGCAGCAGAGACAAATACTCTGGGCTGATTCACAGATCGAACAGGCGAGAGCGGCAGCGTTGTTTCCGTTTTATAAACCCCTGGTTGGCCTTCCCCTGACACCAATGAGCCAATCAACAGTCAGAACAGGAAACAGGCCAATCATGATGTCATGCACGGTGTCGGCGTGTGGCTGCGGTCTGACGTGATTGTAGTCAACATTTCTGACGTTTGCTCCGCGTGCTGATGGGAAACTAAAATCTGATTCAGTGGATGCTGAATGTGTGGATTTGTTCCAACATTCTATTCACTTTTATCTATATATCACTAAATCACAGTTGCCTCAAGGTGCTTTATCTAGTAAGATACAAACCCTGTAATAATATAAAGAAAACAGAACAGCCCACAGTCAGACGACCTCATGAACAAGCACTGTGGCGACAGCGGGAAGGAAAAACTCCCTTTTAACAGGAAGAAACCTCCGACAGAACCGGGCTCAGCTAAGACGACTGCTGACCCGTGAGTCTGGTCTTGCCATCTGACCTCATCAACCTGCACTGAATGTGCTGCACGCTTTTTTAATAACATGTACGGCGTGGAGCTGGGAGGAAGGCGTGAACTGATCCGATTCCGTTTGTTTAATTATTCACGACCTTAAAACTGAGCGGCAGATGTCGGCGTGTCTTTCTCTCAAACTCTCACCTCCTCGATGTCGACCGGTTTGGTGAAGGCTTTGAAGCGGCGGTCCAGAGACAGGCGCTCGGTGATGTTTCGCAGGAAGAGACGGAGCTCTCGCAGCACGTCCTCCTCCTGCTCCTCCAGGCGGAGGTGCTCTTGCGCTGACATTTTGCGAGGAGGCGGCGGTGGAGCTAGGGGGAGGACCTCCATTGCCTGAGATACTGAGAGAGGAGGAGGAGGAAAGAGTGAGCGATCTATCACACTCTGGGCTTAACAACCGCAGCATGAAGGCGGAGTCACACACATGTTTTTCTCTTAGAGGGAGGGGCCTCGGCCGCCTGGTTCAGAATGAGATCCTGGAAGAAGCTGGTCCTCTCCTGCTGGGTGGGAACTCTGAGGACGTAGACCTCCCCGTAGTCCTCCCGAAACAGGCTCTGAATCTGGGAGCGGCACAGCATCGAAGATAAAAACCTGTAAAACCTCCACGCACAGGGACACAGCTGAGGGACAAAGGAAAGATAAAGCTTCAGTCCTCACCTCTGGGTCCAGCTGCTGGAAGGACACGCTGCAGGTGGCGAGGAGGAGGATGGGGGAGAAGGACGGGATGCTGCCCAGCAGGCTGAGGAAGGATGCCCTCAGTGCCAGCCCCGCAGTGTCCCACCACTGCTGGATGTGCGGTATGTAGAGGATGCTGGGAGACGTCCGCTTGGCCTCACAGAACACCTGATCAGGGGAAAGGTCAAAGTTCACATCCTGAGACTGTCCGGCACAGACAGGCTGCTTTAAATAATTAAAAACATTACAGAGTCAGAAAGAACCACAGAGCCGCCTGTTAACACTTCTAAAATGATTAAATGAAGTTTTTATGAAGTGTGTTTATGTTTGTGTGCACATGCGTGTCGACCTGTAGATGCACATGTCTGGAGGAGTCACCTGTGCACAGGCTTCCTCTGGCGAGGTGCTGCTGACACCAAACAGCACCGCTGAGTCCAGGCTGTGGACGGTGAAACGCTCCAAAGCGTGCAGGATGGCGGGGGCCAGGTGGGAGGTTTGACCAGCGCCAGGACGACCTGCCAGCAAGATCCTGGGACGGTGAGACGTCGGCTGTTTGACGGCACTCCTACAGGTCGGGGGAGAGGATGAGAGAATGCAGCGTGGGGGAGATAATCGATGAGAGCACGCAGTGTTTATAGAGACATCCCTGCTTTCTACATGACCAGTTGAACATATAAATCACGTACACGTATAAATCATACCTGCGATACTGCAACGCAGTGTTTGCTGCGGCACCTTTACTGCACTTTAACACAGAATCTAACCTCGGATCACAGGAATCAGTGAAGATGTGGCGCTTTGACCCAGCTTTAGACTCGGCTTCTGTTACCATGGTGATTCACTTCATAGTCACGCCCCTCAGGTGTGGATAAAGGCTCACCTGAAGAAGTGCAGGAAGGTTTTGTTCTTGGAGGGTTTGGAGATGCTGGGGCCCTCGTCTTCGTCAAACATCAGCGTGTCATCGATGATACCCGAGGTCAGGTCTGACACAGGAAACAGGAAGTTTGTAAACAGGAAGTGATGTGTAAACACAGCAGAACTTTGGCCTCTGGCTCACCTGGCTCCCTCTTCCTCTTCATGCCCTCCTCAGCGTGTGGAAACATCCTCTGCAGGGCATTGAGGATTTCTTGCAGGGCGCCGCCTAGAAGCAGGTGGACCACAGGGGACAGCGGTTTGGCCGGGGAGGCGGCAGAGCGGTGCGAGGTGGGCGACATCCTCTTCAGGGCTGCTGCAAAGTCGCAGCTGCTGACGGCGATGGAGGAGACGTCCAGCAGGAGCTTCTGGGACGTGCCGTAGATCTGCGGGTAGCGTCGGCGCAGAGCGCACAATGCCGCCTCGGTGCACACCGCCCTGATATCAGCGCCGCAGTAACCTGAGAGCGACGGAGGCTCAGGAAGTCAGGTTACCAATGAAAAAATAACTTCATTTTCCTGAGACAAAAAAAGCTGCTGCCATTTTTCTCACCGACACATTTTTCTGACAGTTCATCGAGAAAGTCTTCAGACGGAGGAGGTTTCCACTGCCGAGTGTGGATCTTCAGAATGTCTTTACGAGCCTGAAACACACACACACACACACACACACACACACACACACACACACACACACACACACACACACACACACCTAAATTAAGGTCCCTGCTGCAGTTCCTCTGATGTCCAGCAGAGGCGGCCTCAGACTCCCACGGTAAAACTTTACAGCAGAAACAAACACGTTTACATCCTGATCCTGAAACAATCACTTCCCTTCATCACAACCGTGCTGGTAGATTTTTTAACACCAGCCCACACTGACGCTGCACAGATGACGGATGCAGCTGAAAATATATAAAATCTAATAAAGTAAAGAGTCACCTCTCTGTCGGGAAGGCCGAACAGGAACTCGCGGTCAAAGCGCCCGGGCCGCCGCAGCGCAGGGTCGATGGAGTCGAGCCGGTTTGTGGCTCCGATCACGACGACCTCCCCTCGACTGTCGAGCCCGTCCATCAGAGCGAGGAGTGTCGACACGATGGAGCTGCGAGGATTTCCATTTATTTAGTCTGGCACACGTTTCCTTTGTGTCAGGAATAATTTTACAAACAGATTATTACTAATCTACAGCGGCGGCGGCGCCTCTGACCCGTTACACTGGACCTCAAACTCTGACACCGCTAAGGTGACACGTGTGGAGAAGCTGAAACTGACCTGTGGATCTGGTCCTGCCTGCTGGATCGGACCGGAGCCAGACCGTCGATCTCATCGAAGAAGATGATGGACGGACGCATCCGATACGCCTGAGGACCCCACACCCACACACACCCCCCCCCACACACACACACACACACACACACACACACACACACACACACACACACACACACACACACACACACACACACACACACACA